CAGTTCTTCTAACAATCAAATGAGCCTAGTAGTCATTCTGGTGGATTCTAGATGCTTGCTTGGGAAATCCTGTCTGGGCAGTCAGCTTGCTGTTACGTAATGGTGGATTCCATACGAGCATTGGGTTGGGCGGGCAAAATCGATCCAAGTGTGATTATATTCACGGGGCACAGTGAGCCTCGAAGCTCAATGGTAAAGCGTGGGCTGCGTAAAAGCCTTTTCCGTTGTGCAGGTTCGAATCCCACCGAGGCCGCGACTTTTTTTCCCAACCGGTTCAACTGAATAATGACAATACAGTAGTCGCCGGTTGTTAAGCCAACTTTGGGCCCAGACCAAATTGGGATTAATAGGCGGCTGGGCTTATTAACCGTGGGCTTAATAGCCGGCGACTACTGTATCAAGTTATTTTAATCTAAAAAATATGTGCATAAATGTCATATCAGAGGGTCCGAAATTGCGGTAACGATTACTGTTTTTCTCGATCGTCGGTTGTTTCACAAGTTGATCAAGGGAATTGTTCCATTTCCTGTAAAGATCTACTAATTAAGCGTGTCTAGAAGTCAACTGTTAGATTCTAGATTGATTGCTTAGGAAATGTAATTTAGGCTCCCAATTGGGGGCTCCGCTAAATGTTGAGTGGGTAAGCTGACTCAAGTATGATTAAACTCTCGGCCCGCAGTGGGGATGTGGTGGCCGTGTTGTGACCAGCTCGAGTCGAAGTGAACTCCACTAGAATGACTGCGGTTCTCGACGTCTGCGAACAGCCAATCACAGTTGCCGTAAAGATGCCTTTTGGCTGGCGACGAATGGCAAGCCTGCACGCATGAATGTTTTCTCTGTCCACTGGCTTGACTTCTGTCAACGGGTACTTGGATCGGCTGGCCCTCCTGGCTGGTCGTGTGCTCCCAAGTCAAATTTCTTCCATTTATTCTCCGTACCTCTGTGTACACAATATACTGTCCCCAATAATTTGGCCTACACCGAATTCTTCTCTCCTAAGTAGCCACGGTCTGAAGATCGCAGTTGCTAGGGTTTAACTTGCCTAACCCCCTGCAATAACCGCTGGCGGCCTCTGTCGGAACCCGTGATTGCTGACTCATCATGTTGTCGTTCGCCAAGGTTGCAGTCTTGATGACTGCCCTTAACATGCACTCTCGTGTGAACGGCCGCACCCTGTCGGGCGCGACCTAGCAACACGTCCTGTCACGACTGCGCCCACGCCGGTGCGTAACTTCGTGCGACCCAACCAATCACCTTCAAGGCTGCATAAAACAAAGACAGCCAATGGTGGCCGCTCGGATGAATGTCGCCAGACATCACTCTGCCCCCGACCCGACTAGGAAATAGATGCACTAGTCCGCGAGTCAAACTTCTTCCTAACTATTCTCCTTTCCGACTGTACAGAATAAACTCTTCCTGCTACTCTGGCCTTTCCAAGACTTCTCTCTTCTCCTAAGAAACCGGGCCTGGAAGATCCCAGCTGTTAGGGTTAAACGTTCTTAGCCTTAATGCCACTCGATAGAACTTCCTCCAAACACCACTATAGCATGTGCATTCAAAAGCGTTTATATGGATAAACCTTGATTGACAAATATACATGAGGAGTGTTCTAAGTGTTAACTTAAATGCAGAGTGAATTTAAATGCTCCTTTGATTTGTTAAAGCATTTGTGAATGTCGTCAAAACCATAGTAATAGGCCAAGCCAATTGCAAGATGGTCAGACTGCCGCTGGAAAGTTGGTCTTCGACTGGCACATTTATCAGAACCATAGATCTTCACCCCCCCTACCAGGCGGTACGCACACGGTTCGAGTCAGTTTGAACAAGGCCTTCAAGACGGCAAAGCAAACTCAAGCTTGGACTACAGCTGAAATCAGTGAGAAATAGAAGAGGAACTGGCCGGGGACAACGTGACCAGCGTGGAACACTACCTCACCGCCGCACCCACAAGAGTGACAGCAACTCACGCTAGCAGCAACGAGTGATTAGTCCGTCGGTGGACGAGGGAAAAGCCAGTAAGCACGATGACTTGCGAACAACTACGGCAGCCGCAAATGAGATAAGGTCACACAAGCCCACTAGCGGTCAATCTCATGGACAGTCAGCAGCGATTAAGCGGGTAAAAAATTGTTCGTCGAGCACAGATATAATACCAAGCATAAAGCAAGGCTGCAACCGTCCCGCCAAGCAGCAACAATCCCACGATACTCTGACGATGAAAACAAGCGAGTTTCCGAGAGTCCAATCTCCTCCTGACTATTCTCCAATCCTTCTGTACAGAATTTTCTCTTCCTACCACTCTGGCCTTCCGATGCCTACTCTCTTCTCCTAAGGAACCGGGTCTGCAAGATCTTAGCCATTATGGTTAACCTTCTTAACCTCCTCAATAGGGGCCTCGTAGTTCAGTTGGCTAGAGCGTCGGCAGTACTTATGCCTTCCTCTTGCTGGTCAGGGGCTCCAATCCACGGAGGTCGCCGACTTTTTCACTGACTGGGTTAAATTAATGTTTGATCGAAAATCTGAGAAACCAAAGCACAGCTCGCAACTAATATTCGCTAAAATAACCTCGACTTTTTTATTTTTCATACAGAGTGGTTTTTAATAAATGTAAATGAATGAATTGCATCGTGTGCATCATCTGCCGAAGAGGAAGAAGAAAGAAGGGAGGGGTGCAATTTCATGGACCAAAGCATATTTTGACTGACGTTTCAAAAGCTCACTCGCCTTCATCATCAGAGTACCGTCCTTACTCTTCCGTGGGCCTTGAATGAAGAGTAAGCACGGTACTTTGACGATAGAGGCGAGTGAGCTTTTGAAACGTCAGTAAAAATATGCTTTGATCCATGAAATTGCCCCACCCCTTCTTCTTCCTTCTCGGAAGATGATGCGCACCATATGATGCCTGGGCCTCGAATCTTAGCGCATCTA